TTCCAACCTTGTCGCCAAGGTCGCAATTCCAATCGTCTCCCTATCCCTCAAGTTTCAACAGGGTGAGCTATACAACGAGCAACCCGTTGTTAAGGTCCAGCTAAACGGCTCAGAGAAAGGGACACGCTCCGATTGGTGACGATCGATGCATGAGAAACGTACAATGCTGCCTCGTATTCGTAACTCGACACCAAACTTCATCGTAGAATTAATCTCGATTAGAGACATCTTCTCTCACAAACGCTGCTCCTTGAACGTTGCATTTTTTCCCATTCAATCCAATTCTCGGCCACGAATTTAACACGATGCATGATCGTGAAGGGAAAGCCAATTTACACGCGAAAAGCTTCGATATTCCGGGCGAAAATTGTGACCCTGTTAATCGGGGATCGGATTGGAAATGGACCACGCATTCGTCCTGCCGCGAGAAGAGAGAGAGAGAGAGATTGCAGCCGGTAGAGATAAATGCATATATTTGTTCGATACAGTAGTTGGAGGAACGCGCGTTTAGTTTAGTTTCGATTCGATTGCACGGGCCACGAGAAAGTGGTTTTATCAGGGAGGACGTAGGCGCGTGTGAACGTGGACGCGTGGTATCGATCGAATCGATCCTGTCCAAATGGATATCGGATACGAAACGAAAAAAAGGAAAGGAAAAGAAAAAAAAAAAGAAAGGGAAAAAACTCCTCCGGGGGGAAACGAGGTCAGAAAACGTGTACGTGTCTTTCTATCGATGGCGTTCGATGGAACGTAAAGTTTCCAATAAACGCACAATATTAATAGGGCCGTTATTGGTCAACCGTGACACCGTGAAACCGAAAGAAAGAAACGATCGATTGCACAATTGGTTGTTCGTTGAATAATCTATCGCGCCATATTTTTCTCTACACACCTGCCTTTCTTCCTTTATCCTTCTAATGGAATTCTAATGCGTTTCTCGAACGCGTAACTTTCCTTCCATCCCATCGTCGCGCGGAAGACGATCCCTTGGAATCGATTGGGACCCGTTACGACGAAACGATAAAGGAAACGATCCGATTATTTGCGAGACTGTCTCTCTTTAATTGGTTGGCAACGATCGATCGATTGGCCAAGTTTCGAGGGTGGCCAAGAGCGAAAAGAGGCGAGTACAGCCGCCGCTATCGCTTTATATATTCGAAACCGGTCAGGGCTGGCGAGAAAAGATACGGTGCGCGGGCGACTTTCGCGAATAGATCGGCGAATTTTTCGCGTACGCCAAATAATATAATGGCTTTCACTTTGCACGAGCCGGAAAACTAGCCGGCTGTGTTATACACGCACGGACGAGGAGTCGTTCGGAAGCGTGGTTTAATTAAAAAATATGATTTAATCGTGTCCCTCTTCCTCTCGTATTCACCCTTTCTCACATCTACCACCCCGCCATTATCCTTAATCAGACGCCTCGAATAATCGCGATAAGGGAAGATAATGGCGCGCGATACAACAAAAGCCGCTTATCGAAGCGTTCCGCTTAAGACCGTTTTATCAACAACCGAGGGATTTTTCTTTGGTAAACAGCGGCGGGATCGGTGATCAACGGTTGCACAATTATGTAGATCGCGCTCACGAGAAGAAGAAGAAGAAGAAGAAGAAG